TAATCCTTGCTGGAAACAATTGTTATTATGTCAGCAGCTAATACTGATTTTCTAACTGCATCCTTCCTTTGACACTTGTCAGTTAGCATGACTTCCTTTGTTTTATATAGTTGCTTATTGATGTTCACTAAAATGACTAAGTCTGCATCACAGTCAATGACTTAGGATCCATTGTGATTATTATTTGCTTGGATGCTCAATTGTGTCATACTTTGCAAGTAAAGACCCTTCCAACTGGCTCTTATGTGTTTTTGATATGTGCCCAACATTATTTGAGTCTTTTCTTTCTGTGTGGCATAAGATACTCCAGAATCATTTTATAATTCCTCAGACTAATTTAATCCTCATATTGACTTCTCCAAAGATGATAATATTGAGAAAATGGGCTCTGGGACCTTGGTCTGTTCATTGTTCTTAGGTTTTCCTTATGCTTTATCAGGTAGATCTAAGTAGATAGTTGTCCATTTATTCATGTATCTACATGCACATATTCAAAACCATCAGATGATGCTGTGTCTTCTCTCTAATTTAACTCCACAGGGCCCATGCCAGTATCCCCTCCCTTTCCCATCTTTGCAGCTCCTCTCTTTGAGAGGGTAAAACCTGGCACCTGTTAGCCATATATAGTTATTTATTTCCCCAGTCAAGTAATTTGAAGTTTGAAGATTGTCTGTTGTCTAATGCATGGATTCCATGTGATTTTCTTGTTCTTATGTATTTGGGGTGAAGATATTCCAGAATTTTTTTATTTATATGATTGTCATAACCATCTAGAATTGTAAGTACTTTTCAATGCATGAATTAAAAAACATAAATTGTGCCGGGCGTTGGTGGGGCACGCCTTTAATCCCAGCACTCAGGAAGCAGAGGCAGGCAGATCTCTGTGAGTTAAAGGCTAGCCTAGTCTATGTGGCAAGTTTCAGTAGCCAGAGCTACATAATGGGACCCTGTCTCAATGAAAAAGAAGGGGACACATACCATATTTTGTGATAAGTAACATAAAAATACGAGTGGTGGTACACACCTTTTATCCCAGAACTAGGGAGGCAGAAGAAAGCGGATCTCTGAGTTTGAGGCCAGTCTGGTCTACAGAGCGAGTTTCAGCACAGCCAGTGTTATACAGAGAAATCCTATCTTGAGAGACAAAAGCAAATCAAACAAAAAACCTGCGGCTGTAATTTTGATAACAAAGTCTCAGGTACTGCAAATACTACTGAAGTGTCTTACTTGCTTCATAACTAAAAGATGTGCTGTTTCAGTAACAAATTAGAAAAAAATATAGAGATTCTCTTCCCTGTCTAAGTGAACCATTCTTCTCTCTAATTTAATTTAGAGAGCCTTGAATTCTAAGCACAGATTATCTCCAAGTTCTACGGGAACCCCAAAAGGCTTTCATTGATGTTCTCTCCAACCATCCTAATTCAAGCCTCTTCTGTTTGGGAACTCACACCATCACAGGAATAGCACCCACCTTCCTCATGGTTTCCAAGGCTCCTGGTCCCCTGGGAACTAACCCACCAGTTATTATACATGAACAGAGGAGGCCATGAGGGAAGATGATGAAAGGAACAACCACTTTGGATGTCAGAGGTTGTTTTTGTCCAAAGACTTGTAGCCTTGCCTCTTAGTACCCCTGGCAAGGTGCCTGTGTTGACTCTATCAGCTCAGCTTGGACACTGTTCATAGCTACCAGAGAGTTCAGGGTTTCCAGTTCTCTCACATGGGAAGTCATGGTGCTCCAGGTTACAACAGTCTTAGCAAATCACCTTGTATCTTTGAACCTGTTTTATCTTCTATAAGTGAGAAAAATAATATGTTCTCTATAAGGCTAGTGAGAATCAGATGAGATTGTGTGCAGCTTTCCAGTGAAGAGGCCTTTGCCAAGGTGAGTGGCAATCTCACTATTTAGCCATCTCAATTCTGCCCCTGGCAAAGTTGACGACAGGAGAAGTTACATCCTTTGTTGTAGGAACATTGAAACCCACAAATGTTTTGCTTTCTTCAAATAATTCCTCTGGAAATTTGATTTACTATTATAATTAGACAGTTCAATATTCAATAACTATCAAGGGCAGTTTTAAATAAACACTATAACTAATTGGATTTACAAGTAAGAAATGTCATTAAAATCTCGAAATGTGTCATTTCGTAAATGCTCTCTGCTTCTCCCCATAATTAGACATTTTAAATTATTATGTATTTGAGAAGCAGAAACCCTTCTGCATGGACATTTGTATGCAATAAACCCATTCCTACACAAGAAAGTTTTGGGGAAACTAAACCAGATCAGTAAGTAATTTAAAAACCAGTTTTTAAATACCTAAAACTGTACCACAAGTCAGCTACATCCCTATGCTTCCCATATTTTAATATTTCTCATTGGTTAATACCTGTTAGTTGTTTTTATTTCTTTCTTTGTAAGTCTTTTAGGGAAAAAGATGAAAGCAGCCCATTTTCCCTTAAGAAGTAAAGAAGATACACTAAATTTTATTTATTTATTTATTTATTTTGGTTTTTCAAGACAGGGTTTCTCTATATTGCTTTAGAGCCTGTCCTGGAACTTGCTCTGTAGACCAGGCTGGCCTCGAACTCACAGTTCCCGAGTGCTGGTATTAAAGGCGTGTGCCCCCAACACCAGGCTTATTTTTTATCTTAAATATACAGTTGCACCAGGTGGTGGTAGTGTATGCCTTTAATCCCAGCACTGGAGAGGCAAAGGCAGGTAGATCTCAGTGAATTCAAGGCCAGCCTGGTCTACAAAGCGAGCTCCAAGACAGGCTCCAAAGCTACAGAGAAATCCTGTCTCAAAAAATAACCAAACTAAATAAATAAATATAAGATTGCTTATACAGTGATAGAAGTTAAGTACTCATATGTATTTGAAATCCTATTTATGCATTTGTTCATAGATGCACTTATTTATCAAAATACTGAGTCAAATGTAATAACCACTATTTTAAAGGGGGGTGTTAAAGAGAAAAAAGAAAAGAAAAAACTTCTTAATACCCAAAAGTGGGCATGATTCTGGAAGTATCCACACAGGTCTGCACTTCAGTCTGTGTCTATTGGGTTTCTTCTGTGAAACATTCCTGACCTGTGTGAGTCTAAGGAAGAATGAATCTAGGACAGAGACACTGTTTGGGGCTGGAGAGACGGCTCAGCAGTCAAGAGAACTTACTGCTCTTGTAGAGGACCCAAGTTCTGTTTTCAGCATCCACACTAGGCTGGAACAAGAGCTTCAGGGGATCCTATTATCTCTTCTGGCCTCTGCAAGCACCTGCACTCCAGTGCAGATTTTATGCACATGCACACGCACACGCACACGCACACGCACACGCACACACACACACACACACACACACACACACACACACACACACATATTTTAAAAAATAAATCTAAAAGGAGAAAACAAAGTACACTGTGTAGATATGGTGGGGAACTTTCTAGGCCTCTAGACTATGGGGAAAGAGAGAGCTCGTTCCAAAGGCAATGTTCTCTCTGGCTCTCTTCCCTGCACTGTCTTAGGGGGACTAACACACAGTGTTCCTACGTGGAGAGGGAGCTGACCTCCTCTCCTCTTGTTCCCCCTCACCAGAAGTTAGAAGGGCAGGGCCGCCATGACCTCAGACCTGAAGCAGCCAGAGAACAGCAGCAGCCTGCCCTCTGACTCTTGTTGACTTCCTCCTCCTGAGTGGAGTGCCATCCACAGGTGCCAATGCCCATGGTAAGCATGGCATGCTGAGGGAAAACAGAGGCACAGGTCCCTGAGGAAGAGTCCAGGAAGCCCTTCTTCTACTTGATATGAAACACTGAACTACTCCCAAGTCACAACAAAATTCAAATTCCACTTGGCTCTCTTCTGGGAAGTTTGGCCAGTTTTACAGTATAAAGTTGTTTCATTTTGTCCTGTTTGTACATGCCTTTACTTTTCTTCCAAGAGGTTAGTGGTGAAAACAGAATTGAAAGAGTTGAGATACCAGGCATTCATTTCCACCTTGCTCTTTAACTTACTGGGATCTCTCACTTCTGTTTCTCATGAATACAGTAGCAATATTCTCTGGGCCAGATGGAAGGGGGACTCTAACACATTTACAAATAAGAAAATGGAACCCAGTGATGGTGGCACAGGCCTTTAATGCCAGCACTCAGGAGGCAAAGAGAGGCGGATCTCTGAGTTCAAGGCCATCCTGGTCTAGGGAGTGAGTTCCAGGACAGAATCCAAAGCTACAGAGAAATCCTGTCTCGAAAAATCAAAACCAAAACCAAAAAATGAGAGAAAGAAACCACACTGGAAATGCTTCCTTAGTGACAGCTGCGCTAATGCTCCCCTCTCCTGGATTCTGAAAATAACTGGGAGTCTGGCAGAACAGGAAGACTGAGATAAGTACAGTGGTTCTTAATCTGTGGGTCACGACCCTTTGGGGGGTTAAATGACCCTTTCACAGGGGTCACCTAAGACTATCAGAAAACACAGATATTTACATTATGATTCATTGGTAGTAGCAAAATCACTCTCATGAAGTAGGAATGAAAATAATTTTATACTTGGTGGTCACCACAGCGTAATGAGCTGTGTTAAAGGCTCTCAGCCTTAGGAAGGGTGAGAATCCTGCTCTAGAAGACTTTGATCCTGTTCTGCTCTCCAGTTTCTCTAAGTGATGAGATGTAAGATTTTACTGTGAGAATCTGTCTCTCAGATGGATGAGTTCATGTGTGAGGTTAATGCCGCTACTCTATGCAACTATGGCGGCTCCTTCTGCCCATGACCCATGCCAGCTTTACTTCCACCCCATTTCTTACCATCTGGATTTTTCTGAACCCTTCATGGTTGGCTTTGGCACTATCTTAAAAAAAAAGTAGTGTGTGACGCAAATGACTTGTCTTTCCAACAAGCAACTGAATAATCACTTTAGCATCTATTTGTCTACTCAAATTCTCACATTCGTCAACCTGTGATTGTTCTAATTTGAATTTCCTTTCTAATCTTGAACATCTAGGACTCCATCTTTTATTGTGCATGAAAGAAGCGTCCCTATCACGTACAGGAGAAAGAAAATGTTGTTGTTGTTGTTTTGGGTGTCGGCCCTCCTGGTCCTCTGTGCTTTTCTGTGGAATTACAAAGGACAACTGAAGATAGCAGACATCACTGACAAGTACGTCTTTATCACTGGATGTGACACAGGCTTTGGAAACTTAGCAGCCAGAACTTTTGATAAAAAGGGGTTCCGTGTCATTGCTGCCTGCCTGACTGAGTCAGGATCGACCGCTTTGAAGGCCACAGCGTCAGAAAGACTTCACACAGTGCTTCTGGATGTCACCAACCCAGAGAATGTTAAGAAGACTGCCCAGTGGGTGAAGAGCCATGTAGGGGAAAAAGGTAAGAGAAGAGATCTGTGGGGTAGGGTGGTTGAGAGATGGGGAAGAAACTAAAGCAAAATAAAACAAGTTCAAAGCTTAAATGGCTTTTCCAGAAAATGTCTCCTAAGGCCCAGCAGCATATTTCTTAGTCTCCACAAAGCTTCTGAGTGATTCCAGTGTGAGGGTGTGAGATATGCCCCGAAAGACTGCCTTGAGTCTCAGCAGGTGAATCTAGAACACAAGTGAATGCCCTAACTGTCGCTGATCTTCTCCAACAACATTGCAACAAAGGGAGTCGAGGTTCAAGCCTATAGGAGAATATGGAGTCAGCATCCAGATGACCACTTGGATTACCTGGGATCGACATCTCAACAGATGGGTTCCAGAGTGTATACATCGATAGTGGTCTGTAGAACAGGACCCAGGAATGTGAGGCTGAGGGTCCTAAGGTGTCCAACTGGTCCCCTGAGCAATAGACATTCCCATTGCTATGGATTTTGTTAGATAGCTTCTCTCTGAATTGGGAGGGTTTTGCCAGCTTTGAATATTGAAATATTCTCATAGAAGATGATAGCACGGCCCACAAAGGAGAAAAGCAAATACATGTGCTTCAGTAACATCTTTGACTCTAAGCCTCTGAGCCTCAAATGCAATGATTTAATAAAGCCTCTGAACAAACTTGAATTCCAGCCCCTTTAGCAATGCTATATATTTCCAATCAAGAAACAGCCAGGTGGATGACTTCTTTTTCTAGAAAATTTCAGCATCAAATAGATCCCTATCACTTTTCTGTCCATACAAAATAGTTTATAAATAGGCACTGGCTGCACCATCTTGCAAGGCAGGAAAACAGACTCATTTTCTCTACATCAGAGATGAGAAATCGGAAAGTCTGCCTCAAAGGCATACAAAAATATGACACTTGGAACCAGAAATAGAATAGCAGTGAGACTGAATTCCAGTAACTAAACATGAACGACCTCAACTTAGTCTCTCACTCTGTCAGCTACCACTTTCCCAAGATGCAAAAATATTTCAAAGCAGGAAAATAGCACCCTTGTGTAAAGAAAGAACTCTATTTCCATCAGAGATGCCCGTATAAATGACATCTCCTTCCCTCCCTCTCTGCTCCAGGTCTCTGGGGACTGATCAATAATGCTGGTGTCCTTGGAGTGCTGGCTCCCACTGACTGGCTGACAGTGAACGACTACAGAGAACCCATTGAAGTGAACCTGTTTGGACTCATCGACGTGACACTGAATATGCTTCCACTGGTCAAAAAAGCTCGAGGGCGTGTTATCAATGTCTCCAGCATTGGAGGCAGGCTTGCATTCGGCGGAGGGGGCTACACTCCATCCAAATATGCGGTGGAAGGTTTCAATGACAGCTTAAGGTAAGGTGAATTAACTAGAGTATAACTGCTGCTAACACATCCTGGACACTTAGTATATATGAGGTATCCATTTTAGCACGTTAAATGTTTCCACTTGGCCAGGGTTACACAGCTCATAAGTGGCAGAACTCAGATTTGAACCCAAGTCTATGTTGAGTTGAACTTTTTTTTTTCTTCTTGTATGAATGCATGATGCCCATTTACAGTCAACAGGCCAATTTGTCCAGTAGAGAATCATCCAGGGTTGGGCTTGCTATTGTTATTTCTGGAAGGTGTTAACGGGATTATCTATGCCTCCAGCAGAAAAGCATTAGCTATCAATGGCTGCCCAATACACTCCAGCCTGGGCTCTGCAGTTGTATCCGGTGGCAGAGGCAGGAAGGGGATGCTTGACTTGTCTTACCTAGAACCAGAATTTGTGACTATCAGTTCAAAGCCCATAAATGTTTCTTCAGTCAAGGTTCTAAAAAGAGATGACAGCACATTAAAATTGTGTTAAGAGAACAGAGCTTACTTAAAGGACAATTTCCAAACATGTGGGAGGTGTAGCAGGAATAATGGTTAACCCCACTGGGGTTAATAGAGGCTGATAACTCCATTCTGCCACATGATCTAGGTGCCAAGCTTGAGTCTCCTAAAAATCAAACTCAGTAAAATTCTTCTAAAACATTAGCATGAAGCTGAATAGCCTGGAGAACTTGTTAACGATGCATATTTTGATGGGGGTGGGTCTGGGATGTGAGCAGAGAGTTTTTCTACAGAGTTAACAGATGCTGTTGATGACTCGGAGACCATCACACTTCAAGTAACAGTCATTGTAACCTCTCTCAGTCTCAGCCAGCCTTTCATTGCATTGTGCAAAAAGCAGTATCATAACAAAACGCTAGTATTTAAAAAGATATTTTGACTGGAGTGTTTATAGAATCTGTTAAGTATCTAGACACTGTCTGAAAGTAATCAACAGAAAGTGTCTATGTCTTTATGGACCATAGAGCTGGTATTTGACATGGAATTATGCATGCAGCCTAGTCCAATGGCTGTTCCAGGATATCTACATATATAGAGAAGGACTGAGGGACCACCGTCCAACAGAGAGAGGACTAGGACTCTGCGGCTGTCTTTGCTCAGCAAGCATATTGGTTTCATGTTGTCATAGCAACATGTAGACCTCATAAGCTTAGCAGAGTGGCCTGTTTCCTGTCCCTGTGTCGTTTTCGTGAGTAATAGGAAAGAGATCTTCTTAAATACCTCCTTAGAATTGTCGTCTCCCAGATCCAACAGACATCAGTTGACAGATGAATGAAACATAATTAGGTTGAAAAATCACCTTTAAGATTTTAATGTAGCATACCTTTCAGAATCTCTCAGGGTCAAACTGATTTACATTGCCAGTCAATTATATTTCAAATAGTGAAATAAATAGTTTTGTTGCTAAAAAGCACAATCTGGAAAGGATTCAATTACATTTTAAGATTACAACTAGAGTTTATTTTTAAAAAAATACCTTATGATGAGGAATGGGGATGTAGCTTACTGACAGAGCTCTTGCCTACGGCTACAAGGTTCTGGGTTCAAACCCCAACATGGGTAAGATGTCTATAACATGAGTAATTGCCTCTTTATACATTCCTAGTAGAAATACACATTAAATTTAGGAACTAATTATTCATGAACTGCTCTGCAATACGTTTTTCAGTTGACAGGAAGGAGGCACCAACATCTCAAACCTGTGACTCACTAAATATGTAGATTTGAGGCTGTCTGTAGTGGTGTGAAGGGAAAGCCTGCTCCACAGCACCACAGGGATGAGGGTGGCATGCCAGGGACTGTGATGCTAGATCTTCCAGCATCCTCAGTCATGCTGCAATCGGCATTCCAAAGCCCAAGGTATACTTGCCCATCCAAGCCAGTCACTCACCCATTTCTCCATCAGATACTTTGAGCATGGAGAAGAAATAGCCTTAACCCAAATGCTTATCAGTTTAACAAGAAGAATGTGGCTTAAGAGGCAAACACTGGATTAGTGTGGGGTTATTCAGAGGGTTGCTCCACCCATATCCATTTCCTGTTCTGTCATTCAGCATCACTGGACCACCTTGAACTCCAGTTTCTTCACCTTTGGAGTGACAGGGTAGAACAAGATGTTTGTTGCCAACACAGCCACTCTGTGATTCTATGAAAAGATTTATGAGAAACTAATTAACAAGTAGTAAGCATTCTCTCTCCAAATAAATTTGAATGAAACAACAAAGCCTGGAGATGTGATACAGAATGCTTGCCCAGAATGAAGGAAGCCTTAGATTGGACCAAAGCTCAATGAAAATATGTTTTCTTAATTAAAAAAAAAAATCTTTGATTGTTCTTCTCCCAGGCGGGACATGAAAGCTTTTGGTGTGCATGTCTCATGTATTGAACCAGGACTGTTCAAAACACAACTGGCAGATCCAATCAAGACAACTGAAAAAAAACTAGCCGTTTGGAAACACCTGTCTCCAGACATCAAGCAACAATATGGAGAAGGCTACATTGAAAAAAGTGAGTCTGGGGTTAGATGTAGTATCTTCTGGGATTCACTGTCCTCGTCCTCATGAAGGAGTCATAAACACAGTGATGGGCATGTTTAATATGGTTATTAAGTCCGGCTCCCTCTCTTGCTTCGCTGAGTGATTTTAAGTGCTTACTGAGAAACTAAACAATGCCAAGGTTTATGCTAAACATTTCTGAATTACATCATTTATGCCTCAAAAGAAGTACTGGAGAAGTGAATAGAGGCTTCTCAAGGTAAAATGTCCTTACCAGGGTGATCCAGTATCTCCTGGTCATGCCAGATGTGAAGCCAGGCAGCCTGGCTCTCAGAGTCTTCATTTCTATGCATATTTCATCTTGTTACTAAACCCAAACCACTCATTCAGCATTGTTCAAGGGTCTGGGGAGGTGACAATGATGAAGAAGACTCAGACTGTGATCCTTACAGTCCACTATGGCTGATTACAAAGAGTAACCAAGTAAAACTGAGAAACATGAGGCTACACAGCATCAAGAAAACAGATCATCTTTAGGCTGACCCGGAGAGTCAAAAGTGAAGCTGATGGTGCAGTCTCTAATTACCTCGGAATATAGAGCAGGAAAGGAACCCAGCTAGTCAAGAAGCCTTAACAGGACAGGACAGGTTTGAATAAGGCTTTAGAATCCAGGAAAGAGTCATTTGGGTGGAGGATGCTGTCGGGGTCAGGAACACGTGGAAGGGGAAGAGGAAGAAGAGATAAAATGAGTCAAAAGATGGAGTCAAGGGGAGAGAATAGCAATGAAGATTACACAATGATGATTAACACTGTGAATATTTACAAGCACTTGTCATCATTCTAAGTGCCTCACACACCCACTTTCATTTATTTACAATCCCCAAACTCTATGGAGTAGATGCTTTCATGTCGTTCCTGAAACTGCGTAGCTAGATTTGAACCCAGCATAATTGTGCCATGCATTCTCGAGCACTCTAATACATAGGAAGCAACGTAGTGAAGACTTCAGCCAAAGTTCCCCTTCAAACCTTCCTCCCACCTCCAGCTGCCTGGACCTGTAACGCTTGCCCGGTTAGTCCTCAAACACTGAGCTCTTGCCTTCAGGGAGCAAGGTCCTGCCTCTCTCCATGTCACACCACCCCTCAAAAATGTGACTCTGCCTTACCACTAGTCACGAACACAGAGAACTATGACAAGGTTGAAGATCAGCTGTTTGAGTGTAAACGCAAGACTCAAGTCAGAAATACATGGAAGTTTTCAGAATGACAGACATCCCCAAGCACCACCTCAATATAACACACACAAGAAAAACAACCTCCTGAGGTTTTCACTAGAATGTCTGGTTGACAAACTTGCCAAGGAGTGTCTCTCTGTAAGCTTAGAGCCATCGCTGTTAGAAGCTGTATTTCTTACACGCTGACTCTGAAGGTATTATATAGGTCAACTTTACCCTGTTAGACTCAATACTTCAGAGACAAAATCCTTCATTTAAAAGAGTTTTCTATATTAGATAATTATAGTGATACTGATAAATGCCTATGACTATCTCACAAAATTTCATGCCAAAATTTTTCTATTCTGGCATATAACAATTGTACATATTTATGAGGCATAGCATGATCTGGATACCAAAAGTAATAAATAGATCCAGGTGGCTGGTATATTGATTTTCGGAAACATTTGTCATTTCTATTGAAAATTGTCTATCAAAATTGTCTTTTCTAGGAAACACAAAATAGCACTGAGCCCAATTTTATATTGATTTGTCATATTAAATATTTCCAAGTCAGAATTTAGAGATGAGCCAGACTTACAGCCCCATCACAGACCAGAAATTTAAGGTCACCTTTCTTTGTTTCCCAAGCTGAACAACAATGTAAACTCGTCATTAATACTTACTACATTCTTTGAACAACTTGTGGCCACTTAACGAATACCATTGTCACTTATTCTTTGAATAACTGGGGGCCTGAGATCTAACATGGTAGGTTTTCTCCCTGAGAAGACACGACTCGGTATGTTTGAAAGCTGGTGAATATCATATGGTAGTCCTACTTTTCGGTTGTTTTGTTTTTGAGGAAGTCCATACCATTTTCTATAATTGCTGTTTTAGTTTACGTTCTCAGCAACCACATGCACAGGGTCTCTTCCCTCCCCACCCAGGTCAACACTTCTTGTCTTTTGTCCCATCAACACTCTAATTGTTCAATGTAATGTCTTGCTGTGCATTGAATTTGAGCACTGGACACTGGATCTGTTCATGCATTGTGAATGACAGTCAGGCATCCCCACCCCCACCCCTACTCCCATCCCTGTCTGTGGCCTCTTGAGAAATTTCTGTTTGGATCCTTCTCATGTTTTTTTCTGTTAAATTGTTAGCATTCCCTTTATATTTCTTTTGGATATCAACCCTTTATCAATGTATGGTTTGCAAATAATTTTCTCATTCCATGAGTTGTCTCTTTATTTCTTTAACTGTTTCCTTTGATGTACAGGGGAGTGTTAGTCTGATGCAGGATTCTCCATCCATCATGGATTTTGTGGTCTGTGCTGTAGGGATCATCTTCAAAACTTACTGCTTAGTCCAATTTCAAAAAGCTTTTACTCCATATTTTATAGTTTTAGGTCCTACTTTAAAGTCCTTGATCTGTTCTGAGTTGACCTTTACATTTCATACCAATTTCATTCCCTTGCCTGTAGATAGCTAGTCTTTCCAACACTTTTTTATGACAGTGTCTGGCACTCCAAACCATTCCCAATCCCTTGTGAACGCATTTGCCTCGTTGTGGGGGTGGGGGCGGATCTTAGGACAACTAGGAGACTTTTCACTTCTGATTCAGGACAGAATTGTAGAGGTGTCAGTGGTATAAGTGTCCCCTCCATCCCCATGTGTACACATGAACACTCATGCACAAAAATGTGTACATAATCGTGTTTCCTACGACACAGTACTCTCCAGAAAGGATTAGGAATCCAAATCATAACTCCCTAGAGGCAAGGCCCTCATGGACTCTATACTGTGTCCTTTCCCTACTGCCTTTAAAGAAACAGTCCTTGAAGTCCTCAGTCCAGCAAAATCACTTGAAAACATGTAGAAAATGCAAACACTAAGTAAGACTTCATGTCATGCCTACTGCCTCAGGAATTCTGTATGTAGAACCCAGAAGTCTGGGTTTTCATAAGCCCTCTAGGAGATCCTACTGCCCACTCTAGTTTGAGATGAGACCAACTAGCCTAAAGAAGACATCCATCATAGCATCCTTTTCTGGAGAATGGAAACCCATCCCAGTGAGTCTCAATTACAGTGGCAAATTCATAATAAAAGTCCCTGTCATGTGTCTTCCTGTTGCACCCTAGCCTCCCACTCTGCTTCTCCTTTTCTGCAGAAGAGTAAGCATATTTTTGTCTCTGTTTATAGGTCTACACAAACTGAAAAGTAATACATCCTTTGTGAACTTGGACCTCTCTCTAGTGGTAGAGTGCATGGACCACGCTCTAACAAGTGTCTTCCCCAAGACTCGCTATACTGCTGGAAAAGACGCCAAGACATTTTGGATACCTCTGTCTCACATGCCAGCATTTTTACAAGACTTTTTATTGCTGAAACAGAAAGTAGAGCTGGCAAATCCCAAAGCAGTGTGACTCAATGGACTACAAATGCCTGCCCCAAGTCTTGGGGTTGGCTGATTTCAAAGACTTACCATTTCAATCTCGGTCTTTACCAGACCCAACGTGGACTCATTTTGACCATGCTTCTGTGTATAAAAGAGGGAGTCCCATGGTCCCTTAACAAGGTCAGAGAAGACCTATCATATATGCCATTCTTGCCTGATACTGAAGCCTTGGTAGGATGAAAGGGAAACTGAAAGACTTCTCAATCCAAAATATGTGTGCTGCTACCTGGCCCTTGCTGTTTCAGTAATCCAGAATGTTAAGAGTTGTCTTTTATCAAAACACTGAGAGATAAGAAGTCTTTCGTAAGTGGGCCTGATGGCTCTGGTAGCTCACAGAGGAGAAGGCTCAGGCTGGAACTCACTAGGTTCTGATAAACTTTGACAGGAACAAGAAAGTGATAAAGCACACTGTCACACAGAGCACTGGTATGAAGTGAGAGGCGGTGAGAAACAGACAGAAGAAATGCAAATAGAAGGACAGAAACAACAGGGAAGGCAATGAGAGGCAGGGACTGCAACACAAGCTCCATACTCCAGAGGGACACAGAGGAGGCACTACAGTGACTACTGGGACCACCATCATCCCAGTTGGTCCTAGTCCTGGAGGCACTTCACATCTGGCTTCATCTGTTTCAGTCAGCCACATCACGCCAGAAGTTCACCAGCTCTGTTGGCCACAGCCACTCCTCATTTCAACAGCCAGGCTCCATTTCACAGCTTCAGACTCTGTCTGGCTTGGTGTCCTTTGACTTTCCAGATGTCCCAAGGCTGCCAAGATCTTCGGAATCTGAAGGAAACTCCTTTGCTGATCTTCCCACCATACTAGTCTAATTGCTCAACCTTCCAAGTCTGTCTTCGTTTTGCCTTTTCCTGAGATCATTTTGATTTTTCTTATTCTTTTAAGTAGCTACAATTTGCTGCGTCTTCCAACCAAAAACTAAGTGGCATTCAGTCTCCCGTTAAGATCAAGCTTGCCGACTGCATTAACCGTGTTAGCAGTGTGCCAGCTACTCTTCTGCAATGCTTTTGAGTACTTCCTCCTTAGCTGTAGCTCTGCCATCAGCTTCCCCTCAGAGAAGGCTCAATAGACCATGGTGGTTACACTTCACCTGTTGATTCAGAGATACTGTGAAGGAGCCTGCTGCCATAATAAGCCATCCTGAGCCCAGGGGTCACCAAACAAGTCGAATGAGTGTCAAAAACAAATTACTTATTTCTGTGGCTGAAAGCAGGGCATGTCTAAACTGTCCAGAGTAAAGAAAATCTCTTCCATTTAAAATGTCTTCAAGAACCCTAAAACATCTGTGGGCAGCTCAGCCTAGTGTATGATAAGGAAAATTCCCAGGAAGATTCTAAGAAAAATGCTCAAATTTCACCCTTCTTTGTGGTATTAGTCCTAACAGTTTTTGGTGGTATATGATATCTCGAAGATTCATTTACTGATGTGGAGGAAATAGCCAGACATTCTCGAAATGAAAAAAAAAAAACAAAACAAAACAAAAAAACCTCTGGTATCTACAAGTGATTTATACCAATTTTAATCTAAGTGACCACCTCCTATATTCTTGCATGCCAAACAAGACAATTCTGATTTGTTTTGTTTTGTTTAACTTATTTTTATTTTATGTGCATGGGTGTTTTGCATGGGTGCTAGCTCCCCTAGAACTGGAGTTTACAGACAATTGTGAGCTGCCATGTGGGTGCTGGGATTGAACTCCCGTCCTCCAGAAGAGCAGTCAGTACTCTTAACCACTGAGCCATCTCCAGTCCAACAATTCTGATAGTTAAATTTTTCCTTAACCCCACGGTTATTTTTACCCTTCTTTTTGTTACTGGGAGTCAAATATCCAGGCTCTGACACAAGAGCCCATTGAATACCACTGAGCTACACCACACTCCAGCCTTTAATTTATTTTTCAAAAAGAAAATGTTTATAGTTCCCACCATACTTTCTGAAGCATTGTACTAACCAAAGCACTCCTGCCAGCTGCTTAACAATTTCCAAGCTCTCTTGTTAGTACACTTTCCAGAGAAAGATCCAGATCCACAGTCCAACTGTGTGCCTAGAAATAGGATATAACCTGAAATAGGTCAAGCAAGGACAACCCAACCCTCTGTCGTTCTCTGTAGTCAGTAACTTCCCTAAAGTGACCTACTTCACTTCCGTTAGAGAAATTTAATCCCAGCACTCAGGAGGCAGAGGCAGGCAGATCTCTGTGAGTTCGAGGCCACCCTGGTCTCCAGATCAAGTGCCAGGATAGGCTCCAAAGCTACACAGAGAAACCCTGTCTCAGAAAAAAAAAAAAAAAAAAAAAAAAAGGATTCCACTATGGATTTGTAGCCTACATTGTAGACAACAGCCATCTAATCATCCACAGGGAAAAGTTTACTCTCAGTCTTTGGTCTGGTTTTCCTCCTCCATGGCAGTTATAACTTGAGTATATATGAACCAAAATGGCGGAACCTGGGTTATGAAACAGACAATGCAGAAAAGAGCCTTCCCACTAGAGTAATTAGAAAAGTAATCCAGTTGGTGATTTAGTGGATGCTCTGTGTGTTTCAGAGTCTTAGTGCAGTTGCTATGTGTTCCAGGAACAGTTTAATCTAAACCTCACCATGTCTCAGTCAGTTGTGCATTTTAGACATGGGGAAATGAAATCATAGCCGACTGGGTGATTTTCTGTATTTTAGAGTGCTAGTCATCTTGGGTCAGGACTCACCCAGACAGCCTCATTTGAAAGACCATGTGATATAGTATATAATAAAGAATCCAAGGCTTGCAGTCTTCATAAACACTGATTCTGACTGCACAAAAATGAAACCTTCATTAAAGTCTAACATTAGTCTTGCCTACTCAGTAATGATCGTAAGTACAAGTGGCACATAGTTTTGAGAAATGTAAAGATACACTCATTTTTGTTTTTATAAATTCTACTTTTATTTTTTCTCACTTATGATAAAATACCATGAGCATTTATACAAAGTATCTCCCATCTTAGGGGGTTTTGAAATTTCTGAATTTCTTTTACCTGTTTCTCTTTTCTTCGTTGTTATTGTTGATTTTGTCCACATGTTGTTACCTGCTTAAGGAATTTATTTGTGATCACTTTTCATTAATCTCAATAATGAGCTTTGGTAACCTCTCCTCACCCATCTAAAAAGTCTTTAACTTTTAAAATCAGACAAAAAGATAAACACCAAAGATTAGCATATTAGCAAAAAATAATAATAAAAATGAGCATACAAATACCAAGTTTCTTATTGCTGTTTTCTTTTGTTTTTGCTTTTGCTTTGAATAAAAACTTGGTGGACTGTCCTGGTCCCTGTGGCTAGAGACAACCTAGGAACTCTAGAACAGACATCTCCAGAATGAGCTAAGAGCCTCAAGCACTACCACACTGCAATCTAAGAAAATGCCAGGCTCTTACTGAACCTTATACTTTGATGGGAAGAGACCAAGTAACCCAGTGTCTGTCTCTGGAACGTGTCCTGGGGAACATTCTCAGTGTCACACACTTCAGCCCCCACGCTACTGAAGAATGAAAGGCCACCACTTTGTAATTACCTTGCCAACTAGCTCCAGCTGCTAGAACACTTTTATTATTTTTGAGTTAAGTCTTTTGGGGGAGAGGAAAGAAAGGGCACCCACTCCTGCTTCCATCATCATAATAAGGGTTTCCATTAACTTTCCAGACGAACCCAAGCCAAGCCCCAGCCCAGAATGGTATCCATGTGTTTTCTATAAATTCTGGCTTTTACCCAGAAGATGCATTTAGCATTCTCTTTTACAAATTAGAAACCTAATATCCAGTCTTCCATCTATAATAATCTAAGATCCCTAAATTCTCCATCCTTGAAGTGCTGTCTGAGAAAAAAGAAAGAAAGGGAGAAGGAAGAAAGAAGAGCTACCTATCACACAATGAATTTTAAACTCAGTGCTTCCTTTGAATTCTTTCTGGCATTCCAGAGCCACCGTAGATTAGCAATTTTCAAACTCTGAGTACTGAAAATTATGTAAGACAAGCCTCTTGGCTAATGACTCCAAATATTTTCTCCATTCCATGTAACTGTTCTCTTTTTTTTTTTCACATCTCTGTGTGGGGTGGGGAAAGAGAGAGAAAGAAGAGAGAGAGAGAGAGGGCTGTGTGGTGATCAGAATATAACTTGTGGGAGTCAATTTTCTCCTTCCACTATGTGACTCCAAGATTTCCACTGGGTAGAACTCAAGTAGTGAGGCTTAGCAGCAATTGCCATTACCCGAGGAGTCATCCAGTAGACCCCACGCCCTGGGACTCTAAGAGGATGGTAGAGAAAGGTGAGCAAGTGCTTCTCTTTCTTCCTGCTCTCCAACCCCTACTGCAAGAATCCGTGTAAGAAACTCGGATTCTCTTCATTAGCATCAATACAAACTGTCATTTTCATGTTTCACAAATTGCCTTCAAAAAACTAAGTAAAATTTTTCTGGTCAGATCCTTAGCCTCCAAGCCCTCAACTGTTATTTAGAACTTGTCTCTCCTCCCTCCAGGCCCCTCTTTCACCTCCACACTGGGAAGGGATCGGGTCTGAGGGGAACCTTCCATCCATGGCCCCACTGGAGACAGAAACAGGTTGTGTTGACACAGAAGGTGATATGAGGACATAGAATCTGGAAAAAACAGTTCTGTAAGTTCAAACCACAGAAGACCTCGATAAAGGTACAGATTTATCTGTGTGTTCTGTGCAAGAGGCAGCTCAAAACGAGTCAATAGTGATGTAATCATGTGATATAACCATCCCTCTACCTCCATAAGGAAAAAAAAAAACATGAATGATACCCTGATCTTGGCTAAATTTGTTCAAAATTTCATCTTGTGTAATCATCATAGGTGCTACTATTTACATAAAAGCATTTCATACATATATTACACATTGAGCATAGATCCCACACCCTCTGCTCTCTCTTTCTCATCCTCCCCACCCCTGTTTGTCCCTAGACAGTTTCAAGTCCACTTTTATGTCATTTATACAGATAAGATACAGATATGTATGTGTACAAAATCCAGGACTCAAATGAAAAAAAAAAGATATTTGTCTTTTTGAAACTGGCTTATTTAGGTAAGTATAATTATCTCTGGTTGCATAAGCTTTTCCGAAAATAATGTTCTTCTTTATGGCTGAAAAGCAATTCCTTTTGTTTAGGCTACAATATTTTGTTTATCCATTCATCTCTGTTGCTGGATATGTAGTTTGGCTCTGTAACTTAGCTACTATGACTGGCGACACAAGAAACAATAATAAGTATACATCTCTGTGGCTTGACGTCTTCTGGAAAAATACCCAGCAGTTGTATAGTAGGGTCACATGGCAATCTATTTTCAATTTTTTAATAAAGTGGACTAGTTTACATCCCACCAGCAGTATATACGATAAAAATTTGCTTTGATCCATATTCTCACCAGCATTTTTTTTCTTAATGTCTGCTTGGCCTAAAATTTAAATAAATAACATACAGAAGAAGGTTGATGATGGCTGTTTCTATTCTCACCTGCTCAGGGCACTGTTGGGAGCTCTGCGCATAAGTAACTGTGTATATTCCATGCAGGTGATCAAGGGTAGCTGAAATCTAGGTTAGCAGCAGAAGAAATGAAGAGGCTGGGGTGACCACCTTGGGAAGCAAAAATAGGGGAGACAGAATAGCCCACTTGAAGGAGGACAGACAATAGAACAAGGGCCATGGGTGGAAGTTCCATGGAGTTCAAATTCAAATCCTCTTTTATGAAGAGGATTTTTATACCAGTGGGTTGACAGTTACTGTGTGGGTGGGCAAAAGAAGATTGCCCTGAAAGACTACTCTGTGACACAAGGATGCCAAAGAAGGGACTCAAGAAATGTGAGGTAGAGCTTGCTGTCTCAGTTGGAATTTATAAATTCTTAACCCCTCTGATTCTATCATTGTGGAAGGGGCCCTCCTCAGAATGCACATACCTGTCCATAAATAGCTAAACTTCTAGACTCTAAAGCCTGAGGAAACAATTCAGATGTGTCTTATCCCAGCTGTGACAAGATGTGAAACTGTATTCCTCCAAGCCTTGAAGGCTTGCCTTAGCCTCAAATAGGAGAAAAGCGGGTAGTACTAAAAAGGGGGTGGGGGAGAAATCTAGGCAAGGTTAAGCTAACTTCTGACCTTGTTTAGAGAAAGCCCCAAGATTAGTACAAGAGAAGGAAGCAGGAATGTTTCTGGAGCAGCTCACAGCCTGAGGGGCATAGTAGTTCAGCTGTGTGTGTGCTTATCAAAGTTAGCTCTCTCTTTCATCCATGGGTTCTGCAACAATGGGTTCAACCACTCATAGGTTGAGAAGCACTTTTGGAAAATGCACCTGTATTGCATATGCACACATTCTTTCTTGGTTGTGCTAATGGGATCATCCATCCATGAATAAATGGTTTCCAAGGTGAGTTGTACCTCTACAGGAATCCAAGTAATTAGTTTAAGCAGCCATTTAGAAAATGCCACATTGCCCTGCAGGGCTATCTAGTTCCCAGAGTGATTTACTGAGAGCTGGGCCCATGGCATGACCAGTCACAGCCTCAAAATGTTAGACACCGGAGCTAGCGAGATGGCTCAGCAGTTCTTTACCTGATTGCTGCCAAGCTTGATGGCACACACGAGTTTGATCACAAGAACTCACATGGTGGAAGGAGAGAACTGACTCCTGGCAGTTGTCCTCCGACCTCCAGCCATGTGCCTCCTTCCAACAATGTAAATGTTGGACATTTACTGAAACTCTCCTTGTATTTTTTTTCCCTAATCCCATGCTTTCTGTTTTGTATACTAATATGCACAGATCAACTCACTCGACTATTGGCTAAAAGTACTATCAACAAAGTTGTTCCATATGATTCTAAAAGCCCAAATTTTTAACCAGATACTGTGGTGAAGGGACCAGCTCCTCATTTCTGCAGCCATGACAGTAACACATGCTTGCCACGATCTTGCCTTGGTCACTAGGAGGTTAGGCTCCTGCCTCGTGGCAAGGAACCAATCAGAAGTTATCTGGTGGTGCTATGCTTTACGGTTCTGGGTGTGCTTTTCAGACAAGTGCACAGCAATGATGCACAGAGCATAGCAACCACCCTGGGAGGGCCTATGGGCCATAACAACCAGTTGACCAATCAACACAGGGCAAACCCTCCAAGCCTGGAGGCACACTAGTCCTGAGCCTGTGCGTACCCCTAGACACTCCCCTTACGCTGCCCTATAAGATCTCTAAGCAGACCCTTCGAGCAGTCTTTCTAGCCATCAGCCATGGCGGGTGGATGAAAGGCCCGAGCTAACATGGGGTTAGCTCATTAAACAACTATAATAAAGCCTCGTGCAGTTTGCATCAAGCTTTTGCCCCCATTTGGTGAGTGGGGTGACCGAGGTCCTGGGCTGAGATCCTGGAGGCCTGAGCTTCTGGGGGTCTTACAGTGGCACACACCCTTAGTTCCAAAACTCAGGAGATGGAGGCAGGTGGATGTCTGAATTGGAGGGCAGTCTGGTCTATAGAGCGAAAGAAAAAAAGAACGGTCAACATAGGGAAAGAAAAAAAAAGTTCTCTGTTAACAAACCCTTGCTATGAGGAAATGGAGCCATCATAATGATTATTGCCTGGAAATGACAGGTGGAAGCTGTCTGGGTTTCTAAAGCCCTAGTGTCTCAGAATCTGACCTTGCCTGAAGCCAGAGTCTCTGTAGAAATCAAGTTAAAATGAAGTCTTAAAGCTGATCTCGAAAGCGCACGGCTTTAATCCCAGCAACAGAGAGGCAGAGGCAGGGGAATCTCTGTGAGTTCCTGGCCAGACTGATCTACAGAGTGAGTTCCAGGACAGTCAAGACTACATAGAGAGACCCTGTCTAGAAACAACAAAAAGAACAAAGAATCAAGTCTTAGGATTGGTGTACTCCTAAGAAAAAGACATTTTAGCCAGTTGGTGGTGTCATACACCATTAATGGCAGCATTTGGGAGGCAGAGACAGGCAGACCTTTGTGAGTTGCAGACCAGTCTGGTCTGTTGTCTAAGCCACTAGTGAAATAAAAGTATCCAGGTAATGATACAGCAAAACTGTCAACTTGTACTTTGCTAACTTCGTGTAATGAAAGTGGATACCACAGGAAACACTGTGGGCAGAGTGGTGGTTTGGGGTTTTGTTTTGTTTACTTTTTCTTCCTTCTCTTCTCGCCTCTAATTTCTCAAAATTTTTTTTAAAATCCTTGTGAGGGTCTGCAGAGATAGCACAGTGGTTAAACGTGCACACTGCTCTTGCAAAGGAGTTCAGTTCCTGCCAGCATGCTTTGGGTGTCTCACAACCAACCACCTAAATAATTCCAGGTCCTGGGAATCCTTTCTGGCCTCCACGGGTGCCTACATACATGTCCACATACACACACACACACACACACACATACAACTGAAAAATAATAAAAATCAACCTTTTTTTAAAAATCTTCATGAGGAATTTATGTGGGAGCACTTCTCATGGGGTCATGGAGAAAGACTCAGAGGTGAAACACCCTTAGTGAGAGACCAGTGCTGCCATTCACATTGGCTTGAACACTAGCTGGAGAATGAAGGCAAAGGAAGCAACTAGCTCAGTCTTTAAAACTGAACAGTGACATTTGTCAAATCTTGGCATACTGCTAAGGAATGCCAGGCGTTCTTCATTTGTATGCACATAGTAAAATAAACTTAGGTTCATGGCAGAACCCATCTCAACCTATGACTTGACTAGGCTGGCCAAAGGCAAGAACAAGAATGTATCGTGACTTTTGTTCTTCTCAGTTTTGTAAGTGTGACGCGAAGGGCCTGCTGAATGGTGAAAAGAAGAATCAGGGTGTATGGGATAAAACATCGTCACTCAGCATTTTCTCAGCGTCTCTTCTGCAGAGTCCTACCTTGTGAGACTGTGCAGATGGGAAGTAGAGTTAGAGTCTGGAGGACTGGTCTCAAAGGATGCTAGAGTATCAGGGGTTGTAGAACTGCAAGGCCTTTGAATCTCTCACTCACCTTGCAATTTCAAAGAAAATTGTACCAGGTAATTTCAAAGAAAAGGGAACAGTGTACCGGAAAAGCGGGGGTGGGGGGTGGGGGGTGGAGAGACTGGGAACATGTTCTTTGCCAGATTCAGGACAGAGTCAGACTTGGGCAGGAAGAGACAGGTTTCTTGTATTTGGGAAATGATAGGAGGGCTCTATTGCATAGTAAGAAAACTGACCTCAGAGAGTGACCAGAACAGAGAAGTAAGCCCAGGGCCTCCTCTCTGAACACTTGTAGAATCAAGATGGTGGCAAAGGTGATGGTAGTGACGACAATGATGATGGCTGATGCCCAGTGTCGAACTACTGTTATGGAACAAGGCTTTGTGTAATATAATTGCTAATTATTAATTAAATTGTGTTCGTTGCATGCATGGTTGTCTCACTTATGCTTTATACAACAGCCTTGCAAAATTCCTATGAGGAAAAGTCGAGCCTGGGTGGGTTTCACAATTTGCCCTACATCTTATAACCAGGGCAGCAGTTAAGACTACCGGCCTCACTGTCAGTGTTCTCCTAGAAGCAGTTCTAGTCTTTCTTGTGAGATGAGATGCTTTATCTTCTACCATCAAAGTCAACTCATGTAGGGTTTGAATTCTAAGTACTGTCATTATCAAAAAATAATGGCCACAGTTATCTTGTTGTTCTCATCCAGTCTTCAGTGGCTTTCAGTCTGATACTGATTGCCATTGTAGTCCCATGAACCGTGTTGCTTTCCTAGGTAATGATACAGCAAAACTGTCAGCTTATACTTTGCTAACTTCATGTAAGGAAAGTGGAGACCACAGGAAGCACTGTGGGCAGAGTGGTGGTTTGGGGCTTTGTTTTGTTTGCTTTTTCTTCTTTTTTTTTTTAGACAAAGTTTTTCTTTTTTTTTGTTTTTGTTTTTTTGTTTGTTTGTTTTTGTAGTCTAAGCCAGCCTCAAAGTCCTAACACAGCTTCTGTCTTAGCCCCTAGGTTACTGGGATCATTAAGTGTGCACCACCATATCTAGTTTATGGTCTTGAACTTGAATTTTCACCCTCAACCTGAACGTCGTAACAAAGGTACCATGATATTTCTTTTTAAAGAGAAAACAAACTGGGGAGACCCCATTCTTTCTTTAGGTAATGAAATAGCCCAGTGGCAGCAAGAGAGACTTCATGAAAGTGTGCAAGTCAGATCTGGTAGCTCACACATGCAATCTCAAGATTTGGGGAGCTGAAGCAGGAGACTAGCTTTAAGTTCAAGGCTATAAGTGAGTTCCAGAACAGCTTGGGCTACAGAGTGAAACCCTGTCCTCCCAAACAAGGAGGAGGGACAGAGAGATGGCTCAGTGGATAAGAGTGCATGCTCATCTTACAGAGAACACAATTTCCAGGATCCACATTTGGCAGCTCACAGCTGCCTATAACCCCAGCTCCAGGGGGATTCCATACCTTTGGCCTCCACAGATGCTGGCATAC